TGAACTCAGGTCTTCCTAACTCCAGGCCTGGTGCTCTATCCATTGCGCCACTTGGCTGCTCAGTATACCTATCTATCCAATAAGCCACACTGCCTTCCAATGGTTAAACTGCAGAAATGTGGGCTGATTTTCTGGCCAGTACTGAGGAGGAAGAGATGAGCTGTGAGCGCCATAGGGCCTTCTGTTCATAAAAATGGACTAGAGACTAAGCCTAGCAAGCTATCTGCTTGGGCTCCATCCTGCGCTAAGGAAGACAGAGCCCTTGCCTGCCAACAGGGAGTTGATCGTCTAGCTTGGAAGTGGGGGTGGGGAGTATTGGATTAACGCTGAGGCAGAGGCAGTGACTGATAGTCCCTAATCAGGGGTGGGGAACCTGCGGCCTCGAGGCCACATGTGGCCCTCTAGATCCTCAAGTGCGGCCCTCTGACTAAATCCAAACTTCACAGAACCAATTCCCTTAATAAAAGGATTTGTTCCATAAAACTTGGACTCAGTCAAAAGGCTGAACCCAAGGACCTAGAAGGCCACACGTGGCCTCGGGGACACAGGTTCCCCACCCCTGCCTAGGTAATCAATGAGGGTACTGAGAGGAAACATGGAATTCAGAAACTCAGAGGAGGGGGAGATCATTTGGGGTAGGGCCATTCAGGGAGGACTTCTTGGAGGAGGAGGAAGAGGAGAAGCCTGAGCTTTGAAGGACATCTATGATTTGTAAAAAGTATTATTGATACTTTCATTTTCTATCATAGTCATTTTCCCTTCCTACCTCAGCCTACCCCAACTGAATTTTCCTTTGAGAGAGAGAGAGAGAGAGAGAAAGGAAGGAAGGAAGGAAGGAAGGAAGGAAAAGAAATACATTTAAGCAAAAGCAACAGGCACAGTGACTACATACGGCAGCATATACCACATTCCATATCCATACGGCCCCTCCTCACCTCTCATGAGAAAAAGGGAGGTTTAATCCATTCATCAATCAGTCATTCAAAAAGTTTTAAGTAAAGGCCTGCTGTGTGCCAGGAACTGGGGCAAGAATGAAGCAATCCCTATTCTCAGTGAGTTTATATTCTAATGGGAGAGGCCACGAGGACACACACAATATATACAGAATAAATATTTTATCATCAGTTGTCCCAAAGTGAGACTGGCCATTTAGCTCATTGGCATGCTGAGGCCTTTTTCGGGTCTCATTTTCCTCTATATTTCAGTCACCGTTTTGATATCGGTCTTCCGGTTCTGCTTACTTCGGTCATCCACGCGGTATAGGGGCTTTCCAGGGAAGAGAAGGGGAACGTGAGAGTGAAGGCACAGCTAGAGGTGGGAATAAATCCGTGTTCAGAGGGGCAAATGACCTAACATGTGCACAACCCTTTACAAACCTTAAAGCACTATATAAATACAACTTATTATTATCATTATTGTTCTTAGCAGTGAGGTCACCAGCCTGGCTGCAGCCTTGGGTAGATAAGGGTAGAGATACAGGGCAGGAAAAGCCTGCTTGAAAAAGTGGCCAGAAAAGAGACTGACTTGTCTTTTTAGTCCTCAAGGGCTTTTGAAGCCCTTTGCAGATATTAACCCAGCCTTGCAAGTAAGTACAAGCCACATACTGGTCCCCAGGCATTTTGACCAGCCTGCTCTCCCCATGCTGGACAAGATGACTGTAGGACTTTTTCCTCACTGGTGGCTCTCTTAAAAGGAAGCACAGTCTTGAAGTACAGTCTGGGTTCTGAGAGAAGATGGAGTAAAGATTTGCTCCTGATTTTCCAATCTTTCAATTCCACCTTCTCCTCCTATCTTGCTTCCAGAAGTCAGTTATCAAAGCCAAGAGGTAGAATTCCTTATCACTCCACTGAGAGAAAACAATGACTTGGCCTCCTCCTCCTCCTCCTCCTTCTTCTTCTTTACTGTTATCTTTTGCTTTTACATTGCATAATTCCTGAATATAGCCCTTCCTCTTCCCATGAGCCACTCCTTGTAACTAGGAATAAAAAAAAAGAAAGAGAAAGAAACAGTTGAGTTCAACTAAGTAATACATCACCTCAGTCTGATAGCATATGCAGCATCCCTCACCCGTAGTGCCCCACATCTGCCAAGAAGGAAGGAAGGTAGACTTACTCCTCTCCTCTTCAGGACCACACTTGGTCATTAGAGTTGCCCAATATTTAGTTCTGTTATTTAGCATTTAGTTATCTAGTAGTTAGTATCCATTAGTTTATAAGCTCCTTGAGGGCAGGGGCTATTTTTGCCTTCTTTAGGATCCTTAGCCTTAGCATTGTATCTGGCACACAGTAGGCACTTAATGTTTGCTGATTGATTGTTTGTTGGCTTTCAGTTTACACTGCTGTACTCATTATGCATGTTGTTTCCTGTCTCTACTTACTTCTCTCTGCATTCGTTTCATAGAAGTTTTCCCAGGCTTCTTCACACTCACCGTCCCTTACAGTACACTTGTATTCAATTACATTCACATGCCACAATTTGTTTAGCCACTCAATAGTTGATGGGCCTCAACTTTGTTCCCAGTTCTTGGCTCCCACAAAAAAAGTGGTGCTGTGAATATTTTTGATGTATATGGGGCCCTTCTTTCTGTCATTGGCCCGGGAGTATAGGCCCAGCCGTGGGATCTCGGGGTCAAAGAGTGTGGATATGGAATGGTCTTGATGTGGGATCTTGGTGCTTTTGTCTTTCTCCTTGGTCTTGCCAGGAAAGAAAGAACAGAGCTCAGTAACTCCCATCTGGTCTAGTTTCATGCCCCAGTAGCTTGGAGGGTGGCAGGAACTTTTCTGGAAGGCCTTTGCTGGAGGAGAGATGAGAGTGTCATAGGAAGAGCAGCTGGAAAGAATCCTACGAGTCAGGAGAGAGAAGGCAGAGAGAGCCTCCCTGGTGCCACCTGACGTGCACGGTCTTAGCCAGTCTACTGAAATTGCTGATGGGCACATCAGGGAAGGCTGTGAGCAGGGGGGATGGGGATTAAGATCTCTGGCACCGGCGCCTGTCTCTCTAGTAACGAGACTAATGTAGGAGACACAGGGTAAGAGGCTGAGAAGGATGGGAGGAAGGGCTTTGACCTCATCACTCTGGGTTAAGCAGATCCCTTTTCTTGGGATCCTGTTAAAGCTGAGAAGAGAAACACAGGAAACTGATTCTCACTCATTTGTGAGTGATTGTAAGTTAGCGAGAACAAGCATTTATTAAGTGCTGACTATGTGCTAGGCAGGAAGACTCTGTGCTAGGATACATATTTAAGCAAGACAGTCGAGACGCTTGGAACTGAACCAAATACGGTCATGGGTGGCCCGTCAAAGCTAGGGTGACTTGGGGGATGTGCTTTCCTCCTTGGCCTGAAGGGCCAGGGCATCAGGTGGGTGCTGGACACTCAGGAATAGGGGGAATAGAGGGAGCGAGATGTTTAGCAGACACCGTAGGGTTGTAGGAACATGTACATAAAGTAGGAAGAGACTTCAGATGCCTTTGAGTCCAACCCCTTTTATAGATGAGGAAACCAAGACCCAGAGAAGTGACATCATTGGAACATAAAATCATTTATTTAGAGGTGGAAGGGATCTTAGAGGTCATCTAGTTTCCCCCACCCCCATTTTACAGATGAAGAAACTGAGGCCCAGAGAACGGAAATGACTTCATTGGAACATAGAATTACCCACTTAGAGCTGGAAGAGATCTTACAGGTCATTTAGTCTTCTTTGCCTTTATTTTACAGATGAGGAAACTGAGGTCCATAGAGAGGAAGTGACTTACTCAGGGTCACAGGCAGTAAGTGGGAGAGGCATGATTGGAACCCAGGATATCGAGCTCAACATCTAGCACAGAGATGAACTTCACTGATCTCATGACTTTGTTACGGCCAGTCCAATAGACGGTTTGGCAATGGTTCTTGTCTTGGTTTAGAGGAATTCACCAGACCCCTCCCTCCCCCCACTTTCTCTCACCTCTACCCCTTTGGTGCCCTAATGGTGAAAAAGTGACCACGTGGAAGGCCACTTTCTGGGAGTGACTTCTGAAGAGAGCCAGAGGATCATAGGACTGGAGAGTTAGAAGGGACCTCAGAAGCCAGCTCATCCACCCAGTACCAGGTTCAAATCCCACCTCCAACACTTATTACCCATGTGACCACGGGCCAGTGACTTCACATTTCTGAGCCTCAGTCCCTCACTTACAAAACAAAGGGGTTGGGCTAGCTTCAGTGCTGGGGTTCTTTAAGAATCCACTAATAAGTGGTCATGACTGTTCATCTCCTCCCTCCGCACCTTTGTAAAGCTTGCCTCCCCATGCCTGGAAGGCTCTCTGGCCTGTCTTCCATCTCTTGGAATCCCTAGCACCATTCAAGGCTTGGCTCAGGGGCTACCTTCTACATGGAACCTTTCTTTATATGTCCAGGTCTTGGCACGTCCATGCCCTCTTCTCCCCCCACCGCCTCCTCTTACTTTGTATTTACTTGTTAAATATTTTATATTTTCTTATATGTGTATATAAGAGGCATGTATATGCCATACAGGGGGAAAGTACAATGACCTGAGAGTCAGAAGACCTGGGTTCAAATCCCACCTCTGAGATTTACCACCTTGGACTAGTATTATAACTTGTTTTAGCCTCAGTTTCCTCATCTATAAAATGAAGGGATTGGACTGGTTGGTCTCTAAGGTCCCTTCCAGCTCTAAGACTATAATATTGTGATGTTTCCCCCCAATGGAATGTAATTGTGGTCTACTCCCCTTCTCCAGCTCCTAGCCCAGAGCCTAGCACATAGTAGGGACTTTAAAAATGCTTATTGAATTGAATCGAATTGGGCACCATTTGAACTGCAGTAAAGGGGGAACTCATTGCTACTCTGGGCAGTTCATTCCACTCTGAAGAATGGATGGGAAATGATGGGAATCACCCCAAGTGACATCAGTGGTAGCCACTCCTCAATGTGCCTTGGTCTCCTCCCCCGAGGCACAGAGCCCAGCATCTAACCACCCCCTGTGCCTTTGGTCTGCCGGCAGGTTGGCGGGACGAAGACGGGTGTTGTGCGCTACGTTGGGGAGACGGACTTCGCCAAGGGGGAGTGGTGTGGCGTGGAGCTGGACGAGCCCCTCGGGAAGAATGATGGGGCCGTGGCAGGTACCAGGTACATTTGGCTGCCAATGGGAAACTAACGCTCCTTTCCTCCTACCCCCAGATGGAGAGGGGAGGAAGAAGGAAACACCATAGGAGACGGACAGATCAGGTCATAGGTCTTATACTGTCCTCAGCAGGCTTGCAAATCATCCTGGGGGGACGGGAGGGAACAGAATAGAGAACCTAGGAAGTGAAAGGTTCTTTTTAAAAAATATTTTATTTTTTCCAATTACATGTAAAGACAATTTTTGACGTTCATTTTTTAAAAAATTTTGAGGTACAAATTTTCTCCCCCACTCCCTCCCTCTTTTCCTACCTTCTTAAGATGGTAAGCAATTTAATATTGGTTAGATATGTGTAATCATGGAAAACCTACTTCCATATTGGTCATGTTGTGAAAGGAGAAACAGAACAAAAGAGGGAAAAAACCATGAAAAAAAATAAAGTGAAAATGGTATGCTTCGATCTGCATTCAAAGTCCATCCATTCTTTCTCTAAAGGTAGAAAGCATTTTCCACCATGAGTCCTTTGGAATTATCTTGGATCATTGTATTGCTGTGAAGAGCTAAGTCATTCATAATTGATCATCCTACAATGTTGCCGTTCCTTTGTACAATGTTCTCCTGGTTCTGCTCAGGAAGTGGAAGATTCTGGAAGTGACTGGGACATAAAGACAAGAGGCATCAGCAAAACTTTGTATTTTAAGAAAAAAGAAGGGGGAAAAAAGTGGAAGTTTGAGGAGTAGAGTACAGTGGATTCAATTAATAGATTCTTAAAACAGCTGACCACTTTTTCAGATGGCAGTGGAGATTCCTTCTAGATATTGTAAGGGTTGTGTTCTAAGACGACTATGAGTTCCTTTCAGCTCTCAAACTCTGTGACTCAGTACTCAGGCTGTAGGAGAACCCATTGATCAGTCTTTAATCAGAACCGCCTAGGTGCCCAGCTGGGTGTTAAGCGCTGTAGGGGGGATAGGGAGAGGAGGAAACTCTGGCCTAGGGAATATCACCAGCTAGACTGACTAGGTGAGATTCCCACAAGTGAATCTGTTAGGAGATCACAGAACTGAAGAGTGGGAAGGACCCTCAGTGGCCATCTCATTCAACCTGTAGCCATAAGGAATTCTCACCATAATCTACCCACCAAGTCGTCATCCAGCCCCTGCTTGAAGACCTCCAAGGAGGAGGACCCATTTCCCAAGGCAGCCCTTCCACTGCTGGACAGCTATCATTGTTAGGAAGTTTTGGTGACATCAAACCTTAATTGGCCTCTCTGAAACCTCTACCCAGTACTCCTGGTTCTGCCCCTTGGGGCCAACCAGAACCAGGCTGATCCCCAAAACAAGGACCCAGATATGTGTCTGCTTCAGTCCAGACTGTGCTGTGAACAGATTAAACACTGGTAGTTCTAGAGAGGAGAGGTTCCTGGAGGCTGGAGTAGTAAGAGAAGGCTGCAGGGAAGAGGTGGGGCCCCAGTGGGCCTTTCATTGAGAAAGAGAAGGGACAGTAGGCCAGACGGTGGGAGAGCAAGAACCAAGGGATGGAGACAGCATGAGGAAAAATGAGAGGAAGAAAGGGGACGGCCAGAGGATTTCAGGAATTTGAGGTGCACCAGAAACCTAGAGGATGGATGGGCGGCACTGGGCCTGTCTATTCCAGGGTGACGTCAAGAACCAGAGGGAGGTTTTGGAAAGAGGACAACTGGGAATTTCCTTTCCTGTCTCCATGATGAGCACTCTTCCCTCCCCTGTCCTTCCCTATAACTCTCACGGGCCAGATTTAGGGACCAGGGATTCTCCCTCCCCGTCCATTCCAGGGACTCCTAGAACCCAGGCTTCTCTTGTAGGCAGCAGATGAAAAGTGAGTTCCTTGGGCCTTGGGTGCAGCATTGCCCCTGTGACATCCTAGGAGGCAGAGACAAAGGTTAGGTATGCTCCTGAGAGTGGAGATAATTTAAAGAAGATGCCCAACCCCCAAGGTCATTGGTCTACCCTCTGTTTCAGAGGCCCTTTAGGCAAAGTGGTACAGTGGAGGAATCTCAAGCTATGGAAACAGAGAACCTGGGTTGACTCTCACTTTTTTTTTTTTAGGCAATTGGGGTTGAGTGACTTGCCCAGGGTCACACAGCTAGTAAGTGTCAAGTGTTTGGTCTGAGGCCGGATTTGAACTCAGGTCCTCCTGATTTCAGGGCAGGTGCTCTATCCACTGCGCCACCTAGCTGCCCCGAATCCCACTTTTGATCCTCATAACCTGTGTGACCCTGGGCAAGTCATTTCCCCTACAGGCCTCAGTTTCCTCATCTGTAAAATAAAGGGGTCGGACGAGACGCCCTTGGAGATCCCTTTCAGTTCGAGGTCTGGGATCCCATGAATCGACGATCCCTTCCACGTCTGCAGAAAACATTGGCGCTGGCAACGTTGGACTTGTTTCAGTTGTCTTGCATGGATTTCTGTCCCCACTGGAGTACAGCGGGGTTAGCGGCCTGGATGGGCGGACACTTCTGCAGGATGGGCCGCTCATCACCATCGCTGCGAGATCTTTATCTCAGAACTCTGCCCAAAATATCGATGCCCCCTCTCTGAGCATAGGCGGGGAAAGATGGCGGTGGATGGAGACACATCCTGGTCCCCCAGTGTTAAGTCCCATCGTTCCCACGTGTCTCTCTTGCCTTCTCCAGGTACTTCCAATGTCCTCCCAAATTTGGCCTCTTTGCTCCCATCCACAAAGTCATCCGGATCGGCTTTCCATCCACCAGCCCAGCCAAGGCCAAGAAGAGCAAGAGGATGGCGATGGGCGTCTCAGCTCTGACCCACAGTCCCAGCAGCTCGTCCATCAGCTCCGTCAGCTCCGTGGCCTCGTCGGTTGGGGGCCGGCCCAGCCGCAGTGGACTGGTAAGGCAACGTCTGCCTCTTGTGACAGGTGGGGGAGGGCCAGAAGAGGCAGGAGGCTGTGGAGATGAAGGAGACTTGGGTTTTAGTCTTGGCGGTGTCCCCGAGCGAGCGAGGTGACTTTGGGCCAGACGCTCAAGCTTTCCGGGCTTTAGTTTTCCCTTTGTCTATTGAATGATTAGATTATATGGTCCGACATCCTTTCTGGATCTATATCCATGATCATAAAATTTCTGTGATCCTAGAAGGGCCTGGAGTAGACATTCCCTCTCTAAAGTCGGGATTTTTCACTCGGCGGCTGGGATGTGGCTTTTTTTTTTGTTTTTCACTTTTGATAACTGCATTTCAATATAGCTAGTTTCCTTGGTAATCCCATGTGCTTCATTTTTTTAATTTAAGAACATTATACTGAGAAGTCTGTCCATGGCACAAAAACCGGTTAAGAACTCCTGTTCTAAAATGCCTTCTGGCTCTAAGTAGGAGGCAGCGTGTAACAATGGGAAGACTGCTGAACCTACAGGCAGCACACCTGGGTTTGACTCTCACCTCAGACAATTACTAGCTGTGTGACATTCGACCAGTCCCTCAACCTCTCTGGGCTTCGGTCCTCTGATCTCTAAAATGAGGGAACTGGGCTAGATGGCCTCTGAGGGCCCCTTCATCTCTAAATCTGTGATTCCATGATGCTGCCGCTTCCCGGGCCTCAGTTTTGTCATCCATAAAATGGGGTGTTGGATGTGACGTCCTCTAAGGTCTCTTTCAGCTCTAAACCTATGATGTTGCTAACCTTTCATGATACCTTCCTCCCTTCTTCTTCCCTGATCTCTCCTGGACTTCCGTAGTTGACAGAGACATCGTCCCGCTACGCCCGTAAGATCTCAGGCACTACAGCCCTCCAGGAGGCTCTCAAGGAGAAACAGCAGCACATCGAGCAGCTACTGGCCGAGCGAGACCTGGAGCGGGCCGAGGTGGCCAAGGCCACCAGCCACATCTGTGAGGTGGAGAAGGAGATCGCCATCCTGAAGGCTCAACATGAGCAGGTGAGAGGGGGCCGAGGACCGAGGGGCGGCCGCGGCGGGGGGACCGAGCGGGGGGGCTGAGCACAGGGGGGGCCCAGCCGAGGGACTGAGCACAGGCCGGGGGACCGAGCTCGGGGGCGGCCTAGTCTGAGCACAAGGAGGGCCGGGCCGAGGGACTGAGCACAGGGGCGGCCTAGACTGAGCACAGGGGTGGCCTGGCCGGGGGACTGAGCACAGGGGCGGCCTAGACTGAGCACAGGCCGGGGGACTGAGCACAGGGCAGCCTAGACTGAGCACAGGGGTGGCCTGGCCGGGGGACGGAGCGCAGGGGCGGCCTAGCCGAGGGTTTGAGGAAAGGGGCGGCCTAGCCGAGGGCAGTCAGCAGCAGCATTACATCATTGATAGGTCTCGGTGGGATGACACTCAAAAGTGCAAGTCCTATAATTAAGAATATTTATGTCTGTCTGTCTCCTAGTCATAGAATAGGAACCCTTCAGAAATACCACCTTTTGAACCACTCCCAGAAGTGACTGGTCCCTAGTGCCCTGAGATGCCTGATGAGTGCATGAGATAGGACCCCCTGATATAATTAGAGACATCTGGTAGGAAACCAACCAGGATTTCTGCCCCCAGATTGACTTGGCAGTGTCATGGGTGCAAAACCTACTTACTCACTGTGTGGCCTAAAGCATGTCACTGTGCCTCTCTAGGACTCCATTTTCTCATCTGTTTAATGAAAGGATTGGACTACATGAACTAAGGTCCCTTCCAGCCAGGGGTTGCTGATAAATGTTTAACAACTGGCTCTCCAAACAAAACCATGTAGATGAGGCACACTTTTAAATTTAATCTGCATTATTAACATTTTCTCAAATCTAGGCAATCAACAACACAGTAAATAAGGCTCTGATTTGTACCATTTGCCAATTTCTGAGGTATAAATGCTCATGCTGAAAATTTAACAATCAGCTCTCACCAGCTGATTTGAGCTGGCTCCAACACAGCCCTAGAGCTTCCAGCTCTAAATCTAAACGTCCTAATTTCTGTTGTCCTTCCAGGCAGTTCCTTTCAGAGGCTGCCCTCATGTCTCCAATCATATTGCCTTGGGGTTGCCCAGGTTTCTTAGAAGTCTTCCAGGAATGAGCCCGAGGCAAAGACTGTTGGTGGCTCGATTTTTGAAAAGTATTAGGAGTTTTTTTGGAGTCAAAGCTGGTGAGAATAAGTTGGGGGGTTGATCTCGGTGATCCCCAGCCCGCTGATGGCCCAACAAATGGTGTCACGGTCAACATAGGGCATACTGGATAAAATACTGAATTTGAACTCTGGAGAGACCTGGGTTCAAATCCTGTATCTGTTTCAGCCTCAGTTTTCTTCATCTGTGAAATGAGGATAATAACACCTAATGCCTCCAGTATCTTCCTCACAATAACCTTGTGAGGTTTAATGAGTCCAGGTACAGAAAGTGCTTTGCAAACCTTAAAGGACTGTGGACTTGTCGGTCAGGAAGTGCTGAGACTGATTTTCTTGTATCACTCACCAATGGCCCTGAGGTCAGTTCCAAAAGAGTAACTGATGATGCCTTGAGCCATTGTGCAATCCATCCATCAGCAAGCATTTATTAGGGGCCTACTATGTGCTAAGTGCTAGAGTTGTAGGAGTAAGTGTTGCTGTTTATCCTTTGTTCCCATGTATAGCATCCCTTGATGACTACTTTAGAGGGCATGGTGCCCATGTGGATGGGTGAGCTCTAGGGCCTCTGTTATGAAATGCTTGCTCCTTGTATCAGAGAGCAGGCCAGGGTCCAGGGTGAGCCAAGACCCAAACGGTCCTCACCTTTCATTGATGAGCTGGAAAGGGGAGAGTAGGGCCCAAGTCAGTTAGCTTCGCCCATTCTGGTTGTCATCACCGTCATGTGAGATATTATAGTTATAATTCCATATGTCTAATAACCAGTCATGGAACATTCCACTTGATGGTTTACAAAGCACCTTCCTCGTGATAGCCCTGTAAAATGGGTCATGTAATGTTGATCATCTCTTTTACGGAGCAGGAAACTGAGGCTCAGAGGTCATGTGACTTCTCCCATGTCATACCACTAACAAGTGATAGAGTTACTAGGGTAGTCCTGTCCGGCCTCAAAGCGAGTAAATGACTGGGCCCAGAATCCTGGTTATTTAATACATATGTACAAACAAACATGCATGCATGCATACATATACATGTATATACACTGTGCTGTGTATATATGTACCTTTTGTTAATGTTTGTATACATACATATGTGTATTCTGCATGCAGGTATATGTGTACATATATACACATATGCTTGTATACATGCATATGTGTATTCTGCATGCA